CCTCCCCTCCCCTCCGCTGGTCCAGCAACTCCGGTTGTGGAGACAGAAGAGCCCGAGGCTGTGCTGAGCGGGCGATGCAGCCGCAGCAGCGCCTCCCTGGCTCTCCCTCCTTGTAAGTAGCCTCTTACTCGGCTCGTGTTCCGGAAAGGAGATGGACGGGTGAGTGGAGGGGCGGACGTTGGGGCTACTGGGAGGCGATGTTTCTCTCTGGCGACGCTGATGGGATAGGAGGACAGCGAGGGAAGGAGGGAGGGAAGGCGCTTCTTTCAATCTTGCCCCCCCGCGCGCGCGCGCGCTTGCCGCTCCTCCTCCTCCTCTTCTTCCCCCCTTTTTTCTCCTCTTCTTCTTTCAAGCTACCCCTGACTGCGCGACATTGTCCAAAGGGGAAAATTGCTGACAGGTGAAAGCAAAAGGGGGGGGGAGAGACGAGGGAAAGTCAATTGCATCCGGAATCTATCAGAGATGAGGACTCAGCAGAATCTGGAGATGGAGAGAGGAAATACAGACCAGGCAGGGCTGATCTGCCGTCGCAGCTGTGCAGCCTTGGTTCAATCTCCCGGCCAGCCCCCTCTCAGGCACCACCAGCTTCGCTCCTGACGCGGAACAGGAGAGTTCTGACGAAGAGATGGGCAGAGGACGTTCGGACCGGGAGGCGGGGAGGGCGACGCCAGGGCAGCCTCTCTTGGGCATCCCTCTTCAGTCCCAGACCACACTTTTCTTCGGAAGGGTTTCCTCTTTGCCTAATTCTGCTTAAGAATCACGCATTGTTAACAGACTTAGGAAGCGAACGTCGAGGAGAGGAAGAAGGGGAATTGTTGTTGTTGTAGTAGTTCTTGTCGTTGTCGTCCTGGTGAGACAGTTCCGCAAAGGACTTTAGCAGAGAAAAATGTGAGATGGTGGGGAAGAGAGAAGAAGAAGTGGGGAAAGAGAGAGAGAAGGCATGTGATGGATATGTCAAGTGCCAAGCCTTTCCTAGGATGTTAATGAACTCCAGGGCTGTTCTGTGTGGGAGGCAAGCTGGAGGAAGGGGGGGGGAGCCAAACATACTGCGGGAGCTGGGACACCCAGCTGCAGGAAGCCTGGGAACTGTTACACACTGCATACCTTAATGACTGCTCAGTGTGCCTGAGAGCACCCCTTTATAGTACATTTATACAAACAGTATTATCTCTTCCTCCCTCCCTGTCTCTGTCTCTCTCATTCTTGCCTCTTCCCCTTGTGCCTGAAAATCTCCCTCTCCTCTCTCTTGCATATCCCTATCTCTCCCCCCCCCCAATCTCTTTACTGGCACTTCCTCTACCTTCACCTCTTTCTGTTTCCTGCATCTTTGCATTCCCACCTCCTTCCTGAACCCCTTTGTCTTTTTTCCTCATCCACCTTTCTCAGGGGATCATACTTTGCTGGGATATAGCTGTGTAAACTGGGGGCTGCCATCACGGAGAGACCACAGGAACCCCCCTTGGGCCCTCCATGTCCCTTTGACGGGAACTTTTGGACTCGAAGACCCCCCCACGCACCCCAACAGGGGTGCTTTGCTTGCATTTCCAAGGCACCCCCTGCACGGCAAGGATCACCTGTCCTGTCTCCCTCATCTGTCGTTTGCCTCATGGAGAACAAGAGCTGCAAAGGGGATAGCCTGAGGCCACCAGTCCAGTGCAAACACTCTGTAGAGAAGAAGACGATGACTAATCCCACCACAGTGATAGAAATCTACCCAGACACCACCGAGGTGAACGATTACTATCTCTGGTCCATCTTCAACTTTGTATACCTCAATTTCTGCTGTCTGGGTTTCATTGCCTTGGCATATTCTTTGAAAGTAAGTACTGATTACAGCCCCATACAGTGAGGCTCTGCAGGTTCCGACCCATAACTGGAGCAAGTGTGTGTCACTCCATCTGGACTCAGTGGAGTGATATATATCCACTCCACATATATATCCACTGTATATAGGTGGGGAGGGGGAATGCCTTGGGTTGTGGATGTGAATATTCTCTTGAGATAGACATGGATGTTTTGGCTTGTGGGCTTAGGATCTTGAACTTTTTTTGAAAAAAAGAACAGTAACATGGATCCTTGGATATGCATGCATGTGAGCATCGAGGTAACTTGCAGACATCAAGCCAAATGAAGAGGAATAAATAATTATCAAATGAAAATTGAATGTAGATTGATAAAGTGAAAACCCCAGCCATTGTAAATATGAACTGGCATTTGCTATTGCTGAAGATTTGGGGTGATCTCACTCTTGATTTCACAGCTAATAAGGGAAATAAATGGCTGGTTAAGATTGGGGGTGTCAGCAGAGGTCTTGCAACAGTTTTTTTAACGACTCTATGAGTGAATAGAGATTTTAATGCAGTGACACAAGCCTATGCTGCCTTTCGTATTTCATGAAGCATTATCTGTCTGTGCAACCCTTCCCAAACTTTAATTTGGTTTTTACAGTGTTTTTAGAAACAAATGTGTTTCTCAGCTTTACTACTAGGAATACTGTGGCTCAGCTAGGTTTTAGACAGCTTGCTGTTTATCCAATCTAGGGATATGGTTTTGTGTTCTTCAGGTAGAAATTGGGTGCTTAGTATACTACAATTTGTGGCATCAGTGTTCTGTGGAGTCCAACTGATGTGAAAACATGATACGTAAATACTGTTGCCTGCAGTGAAGGAATTGTACATATTTCTACTAGCTGGGATCATATCTCAGTTTAGGCAAGGAGTAATTTTGTGAAAAACAAAGATGCAAAAATTCCATAGAATAATGCTTCGTACAGATACTATGCTCAGCCTTGAGTCCTTCCACAAAACCTGTAGCACTGGCATATGACTCTTAGTAAGAAACCTTTTGTTTCTGGAATCTATGTGGATTCCAGAAATTATTCTATGGAGGAAAGAGCTACAAACCAGAAGACCTGAGAATTGCAAGAGAATCATTCTTAAGCACAGAGGTCAGCTTCCAACTCTGTTCTTTGGAGGACCTCTCCATCTGTAGTAACTCTAACTGCTTAGGGCATAAGGTATTGTCATCCCTTCTTGAGTGTGAGGAGCAAGGGGAGCTAGAAACAGCTGGTGTGCTGCTGCTGTTCAGATTACCCAGGCAAGGAACAAGGAAGAGAGCAACTCCTGCTTCACTCTCCCTTGGGCCTCATAAATCACAAGGTCAGCAGTGGGAACCTTCTAGGACTGGAGGGGCATGTCATGTCACATGGGCAAGAAGGGTAGATCTGGAAGTGGGCCCTTACGTTTTTTTAAGGCATGCAGAAGAGGATGTACTGCTGAGCTAAAGAGGAGCTGCAGCCTTTTATATGCCTATGAAAGCTCTTTGGCTTGCTTGGTCATCACATAAATGGAAATTGCTCATATATTGATGTTGATCAGAGAGAGAGAGAGAGAGAGCTGGCCACATCTGGGATTTATCTAACTTGTGTACCCTTTCCAAAGGTAACACTACTACCCTCTGAGCAAACTCGATCTGCTGTAATTATTCCTCATAACTGCAGGGTGAATACGAGCCAGCAGCTGGGATCCAGGATTTCATTGCTGAATGCAGCCAACAAGCCCATTGTGGTTGCATATCAAAAAGTACAGCAACATGCCCGGTCTTCCTCTCTTTTTTTGCCCCTGCTTATTAAATAGGGTGGCCAGGAATAGCTAACTGGATGCAAGGATGAGGAGGGTTTGGGATGTTGGGCCACTTCTGTTTTCGCTGAGGTCCAGTGAACTGAAAAGCAGAGCACCCAATAGGATGTGTCTGGGCAGAGAGCGTTTAAACTGTTCAGAGCGATTTCATCACAGAAATAGATCAATTAATTGCCTATAACTCCAGCGACCGTGAATTCTACAAGAGTACAATGGGCTTGTTTCTAAGCTAGCTGTATGCTCAGTCTCTTCAGTGTTAACAGGCTGGCAACCAAACACTTACTTTGGATCAGAGGGTTCCTGTACCTTCAAAGTCTTTGCGGGGGTGATGTGCTCAGGTGCTTGCCTCTGTTGCTTGTTCTGTAGCATTTCTCAGTTTCACTCTGTGTGGAGAGAATTGTAAATGTGTTCCTTAGGCTGCAATCCTGTACCTAGTTACCTGGGAGTAAATCCCACTGAACTCAGAAAGGCTTAATATTGAGTAAACAAGGTATCAGATTGCACCATTTCTCTGCCAGATTTTTTTAAGGATGCTTGAATACATTTAATGTAATGCAACTGTTATACAATGGTTTGTGGTTCTTTAGCAGGGAATTCAAAAATTATACGGTTTGCCACCATCATTTTGATACATAATTTTTCACCCTCTTTAGGAGCTTAGTCTCCTTAGGAAATGCTAGGAAGGTCATTGTGATTAATAAGGCCCTGTGTTGCAAATTTATTCTCCAAAATGCTGCTTTGATAGTGTTTGCCTTGCCTTCCTTGCAGGCTCATTGCAAAACAGGAAAGATGTCAGAGCAAACAGGCCATGACAGAAAGACACAATCCACACAAAAATGCAGTACACAGACCAGCTGTCTATAATATGCATCATACAATGTTAGAAAAAACGTGTTTCGAATTCTGGTGGTAATACAGGACAGTTTGAAATGTGCCGATATTATGGACTAGGGTTTTCTTTCTGGAACTGGAGTAGAAAAATGAATCTGACCCGAGCTTTCTTTGGAAAGGAGACTATGCTTTCTTTGTGATTGCCAGGTTCTGCTGGAACTATCAAGATTCAGATCTTCCTTTGTATCAAAATGTTCAAGGTTGCATAAGGAAAACTCAAATCACATGTAATCTAGTAACCATTAAATAGTTAGGACATATTTCCACAAGTGGTTTTCTTAGATTTTGCTGTATACCTGTTGTTTATTCAAATGCTGTGTTCCACATAATACCATTATCCAGTCTTCTGTATCTGCACATCTTCAGTACGATGCTTTGGGGATAAAACTTTGGGAGGAATGTGTCCATACCAGGACAGGACCACTTTCAGAGCTGAAGCAAAGACAATATTCTCTGGTTTGAGATTAGTTGCTGGAACTAAAATGTGAACCTTTCATTTCAGCAAACAGAAGATACTGCTCTGCTAATCAGACAAAGAAAAACAGGTTCTTAATATTTATACTGGGCTGCTTGATCTACGTAGATCAGCAGTTCTCAACCTTAGGTCCCCAGATGTTCTTTGACAAAAACTTCCAGAAGCTTTGACCACTAGCTGTGCTGGCCAGGATTTCTGGGAGTTGTAGTTGGAAACCACTAATCTAGATGCTTACCAACTGTAAAAATTGATGACATGCATACTGATGTTCCCATCTTTAACCTAAAAGACCTGAACACTCACAATCACAGACACACCTTTGTCTAGGTCAAGATACAGTCTCCAGTCGTACGTAGGATGGTTGCTTGTCCAGATCTTGCAGCCTCAATTCACTGACAGAAAATGGTCCTCTCATGCCTGATTTCTCTGTTCTTTGCAGAACTATTTATCAGATATCTGCTTCTAGGCAAAATGTCAAGTCATGCAAATGCAACACTGAATAATAAGGAACATTTACTTATGGACTGTAGGGATGATGTGCTGCAAAACATGCCAAGCCCGTATGTGTGAAATTCTTCAGGAGTAGTCTTTGGCGCAGACCCAGATTGCTGGCAATCTACTATATAGTTGCATTAGCAATAATTAGATTTCAAAAACGAAGAATGAGAGCAGAGTCCGTGGTGTGCTTTTGAAGAGGTTACTGAGAAGGAGTGTGTCCTAAGGTGGTTGACTGCGTTTCTGTAGCTATTTTAGTTTCCAAGTACCTGCCCAGACAAAACTTCAACAGCAGGATCTGTCAAACGTGCAGGGGAAGCTACTGAAAAGGCCTTTATGAAGTTTTTAAAGTGTCTTCTGCTAAGCTCAGTCAGCATAAATCAAATGAGATGGTCATTTCTGTGTAGCACTTGAGCCAAAATTACCATCCTCTCTAGCAATTAGAGAGAGAGGTTAGCAAAAATGTAGGTCATAGCCCCAAAGCACTTAGAAATAAAATTCGGGGTGAGGGGGAGCTGAAATTAGATTGATAACAGGTAGTTCAATCAAATACAAAGGTTTGCACTGAGGACATACGGTAGCTATGTAACAGTGTCCTCACAGAAGTCCTTCCTGACATTGCCAATAAAAGGAATGTGATAAATACAACAGCTGTTGCATTTGCAACCTGTTTGAAGACTCTAGGGTGTTTACAAACACTTGTTATATGTTTGCTGAAGATTGGATGAATTGTTTAAGGGAGCTGTACAATGAATCATGAAAATCTAAGGTGTGCGTTCCCTGTTGGACAATGACTTTGAAGTCAACTTAGCTCTCACACCAACCAAATAAAAAGGCTATATATTTCAAAGTAAATGAACATTGCTTTTGTATCATAGAGTGCCTAATTTGTTGTGGAAATATTATCACAGAGAACCAGAAAACCAAAATTGCATTTTGCCATGATTTAGAGTTTGTCAAGAGATATGAAAATTATTAAACCAATAGGAGAGCAAATGACCATTTATATCCACAAGAAAACTTTAAAGTAATGACCACCTTACATTCTAAAGCAGGGATGAGCAGAAAGTAGATCAGAATCTGACAGATTTCTGTAAGTGATTTGTAATAGCTTAAAGATGCCCAGTTCCCAGCTCTGCAAGAACAGAGTGATTAGTGTGTTTGGAAGCACTGTGATCCATGATATAGTGCAATTCAAAATTGATAGCCTTATATGAACATCTGCTAGTT